CTTTGAGAAAGGCTTTGACATCCCACCCTTTCAGTGCTCTTTACAGTTAAACAGTGCCCTTTGTCTTGGCATTCCATCAGGGCTGTCATGAGATGTAGAATTTGCCAGGTTCCTAGTCTTCTTTTGAGGAGAAGGCATTTTTCAAGCAAAAAAAAGTACCCCCTCCCTCCATGCTCTCAAGTGGAGAAGTCAAAGCAGAGTGTTTTCTTTTCCATGTTGAGAATATGCCACATTGTGGATCACAGCAGCAACTGGGCTCATGATGACTACACAAAGGGAAGTGGGATCACTTTGCAGAGATCATGTGTGTGTGTGAGTGTGTGTGTGCATCTAAATATCAAACGACAATATGTCCTAATAGAATCATCTTCCATATCTTATATTCTTCTGAAACCAATACAAAAAAGGAGATTCATTAAAAAACAAACATAGAGAAATGCATTTCTTCCTATGTGAGTCAACCCTAAAAGACAAGGTGTCTGCACTTTCTTTCCAAGTAGCTTACTTCCAAAAGTTGGCACTATGATGCATCATGCATAGTATAAGTCTCTCCAACCCACTGCTCAAGGCATCCTTTACTTCATTGTTTCTAAGACTGTATATGAGAGGATTAATCATGGGACTCAAAGCTGTATAGAAGAGAGAGAAGAATTTCTTTACATGTTTCAATTTCTTGGTTCTTGGGAGAAGATAGACAAGCATCAGTGTTCCATAATACAAGCCAACCACTATGAGATGAGAAGAACAGGTAGAGAAAGCTTTTTGCCTTCCAGTGATGGATGGCATTCTCAGGATGGTAACAATGATGGAAATATAAGAGGTCAAGATGAGAACAAATGGAGGCAGGGTAAATATACAGGCAAATATAAAGGAAGACAGTTCAGAGAGGAAGGTGTCACTGCAGGAGATTTCTCTTATGTCAAAAACAACATCACAAAAATAATGATCAATCTCATTGGGGCCACAAAAAGATAACTGTGACATATTCAAACTTAAGCTTGTGCTCACCAGCAAACCACTTGCCCAAGACACAGCTGCTAAGTGGAAACTCAGCTTGCCACTCATGAGACTAGCATAATGAAGTGGCTTACATATGGCTAGGTATCTGTCATAAGACATCATCGCTAGGAGATAGCATTCAGCACCTCCTAGGCAAGCAAATATAAAAAACTGTATGAAGCAGGCTTTAAAAGGTATGTGATTATCTCCTGTTAACAGGATCAACAACATTTTAGGTATAACAGTTGAGCTGCAGCAGGCTTCCAGAAAAGCCAGATTCCCTAGGAAAATGTACATGGGAGTGTGGAGAAGTTGACTGGTCACAACCAAGATGACAATGAGAAAGTTCCCAACCATAGTTACCATGTAAATTACTAAGAAGAGTGAAAAGACTAGTCCTTGCGCTTTTGAGAAATCCCCAAGTCCAAGCAGTATGAATTCAGAAACAGTAGTATGATTTGTCATGTTTGTTGCATCTACATAAAACAAGCCATTTCACAAGTTTCAGAGTAGGGACAAAAAAGGAAAATCAGTGTAGCTGAGAAGCTGGACAATTATGACATTGTTTAAGTAGCAATGAACCATGAAGAACTATGATATTTCAGAAGAACATAATATTTGGAATTTTGAGGTCATGTCCCAAGTGGTCTTACAAAAAGTTTGGGCATGTTCAGTTACAAAATATTAATTACAAAGTTTGGGTGTGTTCAGTTACAAAATATTAATTTATCAGAAAGTAAGCTAGTGAAGTTGAATTCCACAAAGCCTCTACCTCCCCCACCCCCAGTTGATCCTTACCACTTCAGGTTGTCTTTTGCCTTTTTTTGAGGCAAAGTTTGAGGCAAGTAGGCATATTTCCAACCAAAGCATTGGTTTACAATTATCAGTACATATGGGGGATTCATGGGTTTAGAGAAATGTTTGGAAATAAAGATGATACCACTGCAAATCCATCCCTTGTTTTGCACAATATCAGTCCCTATGCTTATTGAATTGAAATCATCTTTCAAAAGTCTGATGGGTCACTGCTTTAAATGAGTGACAGTGATGGCATTTGTTCTCCAGCACTTCACAGAATAAATAAAAACTGGAACACTGTCACATTGTGTGTTGGCTATTTTCATCAATTTGCACTCCTTCCAATATTGCTATCAATTTCAAAAATAACTATTACTGACCAAAACAGGTTTCAAAATGTAAATATAAATTTGTGGACTGAAATGCAGTTCAAAGATGTGGTTGTAAAAATAAGCATTTTCACGGTCTCCTAGTATTTCATTTATTTAATTCCTTGATCAGCATTCTTCTTTCTCTTAAGAGAGAGAGAGAGAGAGAGAGAGAGAGAGAGAGAGAGAGAGAGAGAGAGAGAGAGAGTAGTAGTAGTACGTAGTACGTACGTACGTACGTACGT